GTCATTTTCACCCTGAATGATTGGATAAGCTTTCACTTGTACTGTAACTTGTGAGTTGAAAGTTTCTAATCCATCAAAGAATATACCTGCTCCATCACGTTGAACTGGAATAGTGCATAAGAATGAAGTTTGGTCTTTCCATGTTCTAGCTAATGGCGTGCCATCATCTGCATTCAGTGGTCTAGTTAATGAGTCCTCGTATTCTTCTGTGCATTCATTCACTCCATCTAAATCAGAAGCTTGAAGCATACGTGTAAAGAATATGTCGCCCACTGTGGTCATCGCTTGATCGGGGAAGTTTCTGGAATCTATAGTGACCTGAAGACCTCGAAGCATTGGATTTTCTAAAACCGTTCTTTGCATTGCATTCTTCGGAAATGTTAACACAACATCTGTAACATTATGAAGAGCGTATGAGAAATCTGAGCTAATACCTTCAGGAGTGATGCAACCTCCATTTAGTGAACGAACGTCAATATGTTGAGCTGGAACCATGAATGGATCTTCCTTACTAAATAAACGTGGTATTGCTTTAACTGATTCTTTAATTAAACCGTATCCTGGTGTAATGCATTTATCCTCTAAAACTTCCATCTTTGTGCATGAAATAATAACGTCATCAACTGTTGCGTCAGCAGATGTAGCGGCTAAGCTTGTAATTAATTTGGCAGGAAGTCCGATTTGTTGGAATTTTGCGATCATATTTATAAACATGATTCATAATCTTTTCATAATTTTCATCAGTTATCTTTTCATAAACGTAATTTTGTAAATCAGCAACTCTTAACGGGTCAACCTGACAAAATACTAAAGTATCCCTGAAAACATAATATTTAAGAATGATATCACCAAATGATTTAGGATAATCATCGAACGCCTGAAATGCTAACAAATCATTTACCGGAATAATCATATCAAAAGTGACATCAACTTCTTCATTTGCTTTCTTGAAAACTTCTGAAGGGTCAATATATTTACCACATACTGAGTTATCATATTTTTGAACATTATTATATAACGAATGAACAAACTTTTTAACTTTCCTTTCTGATTTTGGTTTATATGTTGCAAATGCGAAAGATTCACGGGCGCAATCCATCTGAAGATAACCAGCATCACCTCTTTCGGTTTCTACTTCTAATTGTTTAAAGCTTTGATTTGATGATTTGTAACCAACGAATAAACGCATGCATTTAAAAGCGGCATCACATGTGAAAGCTTTATTTGAAACTAGAGTTGCTTTAACTTTGCGTTTAATATATGTGTCACCTAATTGGTTCACATCATGAGCCGGATTTGTAATTCTTAAATGAGTTTGTTTATCATCAAAATATGGAGCATCAGAGTCATAGCATGAACTTTCAAGTTCTCTATAATATCTTCTACCGTCATTCTTTGCGAATATTTCATTTATCTTTTCGAATGAATGAAACACATTTCCATTAATCGGTTTAGTGTTTGGCACCAAATAGTTAGTCGTCATTTATTAATAAATAAAAAATCAAAATTAAAAGATGAAAATGAATTTTTAATTTTAATGAAATAATCAACTATGGCTGCAGGTATATTTAAGAAACTGTGGGATAAAGTAAAAAGAGGAGCGAGTAAAGTTTGGGAAACATTGAAGAAGGGAGCAAATTGGATATTTAAGAATAAAGAAGCAATTAGTGACGTTGCTGAATCAATAACACCAAAAGCTGCCCCAATAAGAGAAGTTTTAAATAAAGGAGAAAAAGTTTATCAAAGACTACAACCGATACTAAGATAAAAATAATTTTAAAATAATTTATTTTTCCACTATCTACCTCCTATTTTATTAAGTATTCCTTCAGCTATTCCACCAATTGCGTTACCTGCTTGTGCTCCCATCGCCGGATTACCTGCTTTAGTACCTAATACTCCACCTATGATAGTTCCTGCCGTTTTCGCTACTGGTGCCAAAATGTTTGCAATGGGTTTAATAATCTTTTTATGAACCCAACCCGCAGCTTTCTTAATTCCATCCCATAATTTTTTAAAGAATCCTGCCGCCATTTCTGATTTAATATAGGGTGTCCAAAGGTGCGTTTAGCACAGCGCTCTATATGAGACTATTAAAGGAGATATATGCTGATTATAAATATATAATAAAAAATATGAATATATGTATATGATGAGTATGTTGTATTTTGGCGCCATGCCGGGATATAAAATGAATTTTGAGACAAGAGGCGGTTTCGCGGGAAATTTTGGCGGGATTTTTTTCATTTTTTTAATGAATCATAAAGAAAACATCCTCGCTCTTGCAAAAAAATGCAAAGACTGTAAAAAAATCTACGAGACATTGGTAAAATGCTTCGGTATGGATGCTCCTAGCTATTCCACTGTAACGTATCATGTTAGGATGTATCACTTCATGAACAAAAAGGCGCTCATCATAAAAATTGACAAAAAATCGCCGGATCAAAGAAAAATCAAAGCAATTCTTCAAGCGCTAGATGAAGACCCAAGAGCATCACTCAGAAGGATAGAGGAGATGACAAAGATACCACGTACAACAGTCAGTTATTATCTGCACAATTATTTGAACTACAAACTAGCGTATACACGTTGGGTTCCGCACAACCTTAATTCAGTTCAAAAAAAATCTAGAGTCCAATCTTCGAAAGAGCTCCTCTCTATATTGGGTGCGTATCAATCCAAGAAGTTTCGCTTTTTAGTAACAGGGGACGAGTCTTGGTTTCAATATGCAACAGAAGCCAAAATCATGTGGATCCCAAAGGATGAAAATCTGCAAACATTCCCGAAGAAAAAAATTGACACACCAATGATGATGTTGTCGGTTTTTTGGGGCGTGAATGGCATCATCGCAATTGATATTCTTCAAAAACCTAATACGATGAATGCTCAGTATCTAATTGACAATGTTCTTACTCAAATTATCAATTCTGATGAGTTTGAGAAATCCAAACAACAAAAACAAAAGTTTGCAATTCATTTTGATAATTCAAGAGTTCACAAAAGTCATAAGGTAATGAATTACTTGGTGGAAAACAATGTCAAAGTTGTTCCAAACCCAATTTATTCACTGATATTGCACCCTCTGACTTTTATTTATTCGGCACGCTAAAAAGAGAGAGCTGAAGGACGCGAATTCGCGAGTCCAGATGATCTTGAAAATTTTGTAAGAGAGCAATTTGAGCAATTTTCTCATGATGATTTAAAGCGTGTCTTTCAAGCCTGGATCGATCGCTGCGAACGCGTGATTGAATCCAATGGTGATTATATTTAAATAAACTTTATATATATGTAACTTGTTTATTTCTATTCGCAGTATTCAGGTTTGTGCTAAACACACCTTTGGACACCCTATATTAATTAAAAAAAATATATTTCATCACTTATATTCTAATTTTTATTTAATGATAAATGAAACCGATTTTAAAAATAAATGAAACAGAGGAGGAAGAAATAAATGAAAGTGAAAATGTTCAACAAAAAATAAACGTTGTTAAACCAATTACTGAAATAAAAATTTTTTCATCTGTTGAAGAATTTAATGACTATTATGCTAATAATAAAAAATTGTTTGAAGAATTGACAACATGTAAATTGAATAAAATGTTTAAAGTTGATGGATTCAAAATTTCAAAAATAAAGGGGGTGGTTAGTTTGAAATCTATTCCTCAATCAAGAATCACCGCATTAATGAAAATAGATGATTTAACAAAAAGAATAGAAGAGATTGAAGAAAGAATGAATCAAATAATTGATTTCATAAATTCAAATAATCATTAGTTTCTTAAAGTTCAATGTTGAACTCATCAAATTCTTCTTCATCATTACCATTACCTTTAGCGAGTTTATTTACTCTTTCAACTTTATCTTTTGATAGTCTATCGTTTAATTTTTTCTGAAGTTTTTCGTTACCAAGTTCTAAAATTTTACACGGATGATATTTAAACCCGTTAAATTTTTTTTCCTCAGTTTTAATCACTAATCTACAAAGAACTTTAGTGAGGTGGTTTTGTTGTTTAAACCATTTATCCTTAATATTTGTTATAAATTCAATATCCGGAATTAATTCCCAAATTTTTGAATTTTCGATTAATTTACCATCAAATGCAAAAGCAATAGGTTTAATATTAAACTTACCGTTATAAAATAAACTTTGTATGTAATCATCAAAATAAACGTCTACTTGTTTAACCTGGGTGAGAATTGGTGAAAGTTTATTCATTAATTGATTTACAGTCACGAATTTTGATTCACTCATTTATCATTAAAGAGTAGGTGCCAAAAGTGCTTACTGTTAAACAACCGTCGGATTTCCGGGTGAAATCGTGACACACTTTCGTCTTTCGTAGGCAGTGGTGGTTGTTACAAAAGGTAACTTCGAATGTAGCGTGAAATCTGCAAAAAAAATTCTGAAATTTGAATGGAGAACACAAAAATTGAATAGTTTACGTCAATAAAAAAGAGAAAAATGAAGCCAATGTGTCTCGAACCTAGGACTTAGAGCAGCAATCCCACTGTTTATCCCATTACATATTACACTACATGCATCTCTCACCTCAGTGAATGAGATCAACTATATGATAACTTTTTCCCCATTATATTCTTGTGGAAAAGTGACAAATAGCAACTTTGACCCTCTCTCTATCATTAAATAAAAAAATAAATTATTTTAAAATTAATGTTAATTTTTTAAAATGTGTTTAGTATATAATATTTATTACTAATTTATTTAATAATGTCGCGCTTTCTTACGAATTCATGACTTAAAAAACGTAAGAAAAAATTTTTATATCATCTATATATAGAAGATGTGAAAATATACCTTCATCTATATATAGACGTAACAAAAAAAGTCACACAACCCTTCCACATATACTACTAATAATTTCTAATAACTGTCCTTTATATTTACATAGAATCGAAATCACTAAATGCATTAATTGGAAAATTATTAACAAATGTACATAGAATTGTTTAACAAATTAAAGGAAAAAAGAAAAATTTCAAGAAGATGAACTAGAAGATGAAGAAGAATCTTTCTTCTTGTGATGAGACTGTGGTGCAGGTGCATTTTGAGGTGGAGCATAATATCCAGGTTGTGGTGGATAGTAATTATTTGGTGCCTGTGGTGGATATGCTGGTTGTTGAGGTGGATATGCTGGTGGAGGTGATGGGTATGTTGGTGGTGGTGCTTGGTATGTGGGCTGCGGCTGGTTATATTGTGGATATCCAGGTGGTGATGGTTGATTTTGAACGCCCTGTACTTTTTCTGTATGATGTGTATGTTCTTTTCCTCCTTTTGGTGTTCTGATATATCCTTTGTATCCTTCGCCGGGTAATGGAAGACCATAACCTGCCTTTAGTTCACGATAATTCTGGCAAGCGAAGCATGGTAAACAAAAACAAAAGGCGCAACAGTCATTGCATGGTTCATGCTCATAATTCATACGTTGACGGATAATCTGACGAATATTGAAGTCAATCATAGGGAAACATAGTTGGCGCCATGATTTGATTCCTTCTAACTTTTCTTGACTTTTGCATGTGAGAACGCAAGGGCAATAGCATCCAATGCAACAGCTTTCCATATCTTTAAAACAATCAAAAAGATCTGTATGGAACCCAGACATTAGAAAATTTGATTGAAAAAAAATTTTGTTTATTCATTCAATTTCTCGGTTATTAAGGGTGCACACGAGAGGATCATGTAAACTTCAGAATTTAGAACCTTATTTTTAGGCATTATCTTGGCTACCTATTTAGGCTCGAAAAGCAAAAAATATCAAAAAATACAACTTGACTCCATTCTGACCCTTTCATGGAGGTAGTTTTTATCCGCTAGTATTTTCCCTTTGAATCTCTTTACAATTCGAAATCAAATTCAAACCTCAGTAGAAGAAAGGAAGAATCGACTTACTACGGTTGTAATACGAATAAATACATATATTTAATTATTTTTATTTACATAATAATTGTTTGAAGCTCATATTCCATCATACATTGACTTACGCAATTTGCTCATGATTCAAAATTATTATTTACCAATCGATTTTTTTCAATATTGACATGTCTAACATCCTATACCTATTCTCCATGAATGATTTCAACACATTCGCCCGTAAGTCGACCAATGAACGATCAATTTATGGGCGTATATTCAGAATTCAATTTTTTTTTCAAAAATTTTAGGATAAATGCAAACGATTGAGGCTAATTTTCAAATCATTTACCAATGGAATATAGTCCAAGAAGATCAATCCGACATAATTAAAGTTATCATTGATTTTCCAGAATCATTCAAGCCAGATTCAATTACATACGAACTTTTAGAACAAAATACTATCTTCAGAGCATTTTTTAATCCGGAATTACCAATAATTGAAGGTCTCCTTTACTCCCCTGTTAAATCATTCGATACTCATATAGAAAAAAATCAAATCATTATTACTTTTGTGAAGAATGATGATACTAAATGGCCAACCCTTATGAGAGACAAAAATCCCATTACAAATAAGATTGATCCTAATTCAGCTTTTGCTATTTTCAAAGACCAAGTTGAAATCTCAGAGGATACAGAAAAACTCGAAAGTTTCTTCTCGCATTCGATGGCATGCGGATATCTACCAGCATTGATGTATGCTCTTGACATGATGGAAGATGATCCAACTTTAAAAGACAGTTATTTACAAATCCTTGATCTTGCAGCTCATAAGTATCAACATCCAGTTGCATTATTCAAATATGCTACTTATCTAGTTGATAATGGTCAGAAAGAAGAAGGATTCAAATATTTATCATTAGCTGCTCAAAAAGGTGTTGGAATCGCAATATCTCTTATGGGACAGATGATCTCACCACTCTCTGGTATTGAATTTTCAGAAAAAGATCCCGTAAGTGCTCTCCAACTTTTTGAAAAAGTAATTGGAATAAAGGACGAGCCAATTGCTTTGTATGAGGCCGCCAAGCTATATAAAGCAGGTGTTGGCTGTGAGAAAGACATAGAAAAAGCTAATAATTATTACCAACGTGCTAAAGCTGTTTCTCATGATTTACCAGACTTACCAGATTACAAAGAAGGTGTTACAATTCTTGGAGTACCAGTGTTTATTGCTGCAGGTGTTTCAGTCGCAGTAATTACAGCAGGAACATTTATTTATTCATTATTTAAGAGATCTCGCAATTAGTAGATATATTTGCTTGTTTATATAAAATAGAGCTATATCATATGAATATTAATTGAATATTTTTTGTATAAAATATTTATTAAAGGAATACACTATGCCTTCAAGCCATTCCAGGAGCTCGATGACTCCCAATCCTACGAAATGGAGCTGAGGTCCTATTAGCAGAAAGCTTTCTTCGCATGAGGAGCTCCATAGCTCCCAAACCTACGAAAGGATTTATATCAAAGGGGAGAGTGGAACTACGTCGACAACAAAAGTATCGACCAAAATTGTTCCTATTATGCTTGCCATATGAAGTATAGTAATAGTGTGTATGGACTCATAGAATGGCTTTCGTTTGATTTCGAGATATATTATGATCTTCTAAAATATCGTTATTTTACTTGATAACGCATATATTTTATCGTATTATGAAAATTAAATGAAAAATATGGCTCAAGACGAGCAAAATTCGATGCTAAAAAAGTAAATTGTTTATTGATTAGGGTGCTTTCAGGTATTTTTTTGAAGTAACACTTTATTCGTTTTTCTTTCTACATCTGTATATAAAACATGCACAAACAAGGATTTATAATTAAAAATATTATTCGAATTGGGTAAATAAATCGTTAGATCTTAGATTTTATTAATCGTTTCTTCTTAAAACGAGACTGTGGTAATGGGAACTGTGTATGATAGTTGGAGTATTGTTAAATTGCGCGAAATGTTGATAAGTTTCAAAAACGATTTGTAGTATGTTCAAGTATATTAGAATTTAATGATATGTGATAACATCGACTGCAAACAATTGATTTTAAGTGATTAATGAAAATCGATATCAATATTTAAAATTTTCGAGGTTTTTTTGACTGATAGAAATTGCTTTGGACACCTAGAATGAAGTTCCCCTTAGTGAATTTCTCCAAATTTTTTCCATTTTAGAAAAAGCCTAAGCAATTTTCTAGAAAATGATAATGTCTTTTTCAATTCTCGATTTTTTTTGGAAAATTGAGGTTAATTTTTTTGAAAATTTATAATTTAGAGAGAAATAAACCATTTTCATTGTGTTCTAAATCGACAAAACCTTTTTATTTTTGTTATTCTATATTTTTTCTACTAAAATATATCAATTATACAACAAAATCATATAACTATTTTTCAAAGATATAGAAAAGAAGTATATATTCCAAAATTATAAATCAGTCATAGTTTACTATCAAAAATAATATATTATCCTATATAGATAACCATCCATTGCTAGTAATTTAAAATTATTTCTGGTTCAAATTCAGGATCATCTTCACATGTTTAGAAAATATTGTAAACATCTAGAAAACAATCAATAATATCATGATTTTATTCACAATTGAGTTCAAGATATTTATTGTGATTTGATTTTCGATAATAAATCTGAATCAAATGTATATTAAACTCGCACATTTAGTCTTCTTATCATAATAATGTTATCAGTTAGTGACTATGTCTACAAAACTAGCAACATTAGATCTGTATCTCATAATCAAACGGAAGTAAAGCCAAGATATTTGAGATTTTATCACCTGATAGTATGCATGATACTATACCAGAATGACTAGTCAATCTGTTGTTTTAATATCGTTTTAAATTTTTTATGCCAAAATAGTACTTTGACTATCATTGGTAATACGTAAGGTTGCTACTGTTGTAATATTTCCAAAAAATAAAGGTATCAACTTTAATGAAAGATATGATGAGTTGAACATCGAATAATTGGGTTTTTGTAATATTAATATTCTTTAGTCCATAGTATATCATTGTTTCATACTAATAACGTGGATCAATTCCGTTTCAATGATCAGATAAAGCAGAAACAATATACTCAGGTGCCACTTTTTTGGTCTAAAAAATGAGTTCCCCTCTTTTTTTATGCTCTTGAATCAAAACCATTTATTTTTTTCTGATTTATGTAAAATCGAAATAAAAAAATGTTGCCAAAATTTTTTTTGAATAAAAGTAATTAATTTGAATGACAGCTATTCTTCAATTAGGTAACAGCACTACTTACTATTATATTTTTTCAGAAGAAACCAAGAAAAATACAAGCATGCCTAGTTTCTATGAATATAAAATGGATTTCGGCCTTCATCAAAAAGATTTCCGGTCATTAGAAGATCAAGAAGTCAACCAAACCACGTGTCCACATGAAAAATACTCAGTACATGAATTTCTCAGGTATATTGGCGAGAAAAAAGTCGTTATTAATGATCCATCTCAAAATATTAAATACACTGCTGAAGATTGTCTTTCCCTTATATTACACATGATCATTAATAGAATTCGAGCAAAATACATAAAGAAACTTCAATATTATTTCATTATTGATCCAAATTGGGATGACAAGAAGATTGAAGCCTTACAAGATTGCATAAACGACAACAATATTACAGATTACAAGATTGTTTCTTCAGATGACATGATTAGTAACTTGTTAAATTTATATTTCCAAGATCAAGAAGTAAATGAAGAAAAACATACAATCATTATCAATTCAGGGGCAACAGGTACAGATGTATTTATTGTCGAAACAAAACAACATGAAGATCCAAAAATTATCAAAAAAAGTTATATTAACAAAGGACACATTGATTTTACGAATATTCTATGCAATATATTTCTTAGTCAGTTCGAAAATGACAAAAACGATGATCAAACAAATAAAATAATCGCAGAAATCAAAGATCAAAAACCAAATCCTTCAAAACGATGCTTTTTCAATGAAGTGAGTAAGCTTTCACAGACAATGGCTCCACATCTCAAAACAAAGCTTTCTGCAACATCCCTTAGCTACGCATCTTTCACGAGTGATATCATTGCTTATGATGATGTCATTGGAAATCCAGAATATGGAAAACTTGCTGAAGATTTTTACAGCTTTATACAGGCTTTCCTTTCGGATATTGGTAATTTACATATTGATTATTTTACAATTGTTGGTGGAAATTCTTTGAATCCCTTCTTCAAACAACTCGTCAATGTTATCATTGATGATAAAATAAAAAAATGCCAGGAGCTTTGCTTGAACAATTCCAGATGTTCGGCAATCAGTGGCACAATAGATTTGCTTTCAAGAAAAAAGATAGAAAAATTTGTGAAAAAGTCCGTTGATAAAAAGGCAAATCGAGAAAGTTTTGTGGACAAAATACTCACTAAAAAAGCAAGAAAGCAATACGATATCAACAAGAAATCCGACGAGTTCAATAATCAATATGATTCTATTCCTAATTTCAAAAGTTACTTTACCAAACTAGGTATAGAATTAGATTCAGATTTCAAAAAATTTCTCGATAGTTACATTTACGACTCCAATTTTGAGTTAGATAAAGTGATAAAGGAAATCAACGTTGCACTTGAAAAAGTACGAGATAAAACTGATAAAGAATTCATCCAACAACATAAAGACAATAAATTGCTAAAATCAGCATTGACTGCCGCAAGAGATGCAATGACAAATAACCAAAAACAAGAACTTTTGTCATATGCAGAAAATATATACGCTTTAATCCATGCTTCCGAAACTCTCAAAGAGGAGTTCGAAAAAGGTTTGGAAGTAGCAAAGAAAAGCAGGAAGGATAAAGAGTTTGCAGAAGAAAAATTGCAGGAATTTTGCGATTATTTAGATGCAATTCAAAACAAATAATAAACATTTATTATTATCATTTTTAAATAAAAGAGGAAACTCGTTTTTTAGACCACTTTTATTTTTCATATTTCATGCATGAAATGGGAACAATTTTGGTCGATTTCTTTGTTGTCGACTTTAATTTACTGAATTCCGTGTGCATTTAGATTGTTTAGAACTATATATAGCATCTCTCGAATGATTCGGTGTATGTCTCTCCGAATGTAACAAAATCTGAATGCGAAACTTTTACCAATAGAATACTATATACAAAACCTCAGAAGCAAACTGAAAGTTCTCTTTAATTCTTTTTTTTTTGAATTAATTAATTATATTTATTTAAGGTATATCAATACTAATATATCAAACAAATAATAAACAAATTACCGTTTCTCTCCATTAGGGCGCAATAGACAATTGGAAAATGTCGCAAGAATTACCTTAAATAAAGTAGGATCCTTTTTATGGGATCCGTCAAAATGAGACATTGAAAAATTTCAGGATCCTACAATCTCTCAATTTTGGATAAATTGATTTTATTATATAAATCATATATATCATATTTTTATTAAACCCCCCGAAAAAGTTATCACTTTTCCGATAATTTATCAGGGTCACAAGGTGTCCTAAAAATATCAGAGGAGTGTTATTCTCTAGTATATGATTATTTTTTGCTTTCAATGCATAAAGTATTTGAATCAAAAATGATCGTATGAAGTGAATTGAAGTATGCATCGTAAAATTTTATGAAATATTATTTTCAATGTTTTTTGCACTGCTTCTTAATACTTTGGCGGCAAAATGCAATGAAAGTTCTTTAGATCCCGGATTCATCTGTTGCGAAGACAATCCATGCCAAGGTCATTGCATTAAATTAAATGATTCAGATGTAAACAGTGAAAGTAAATGCATTACGGAAGCGCAATATCAAATTTGCTATGCAGGATACATATATCCTGTATTTATGGCAATTTGTTGCATTCCAACAATTATATTTTGGATTTTGTCTTGTTTTTCAAAGACAAATGTTCCATCATGCACTTGGATTACCAACATCTTCCTGAATATCTGTTTTTGTGCAGTTATTCAGTCAATTCCTTGTATTGTCCTAATTCCAGGCACTCCAGCTCCAATGGCATTTCTTATCGTAGGACTTGCACTGTTTATGAGTATCTATCCTATAGCACGAGTATCTCCATGCTCAGGAGGCCCAGAATGCTGCAGCGTCGATAATTTCAGTGATGCATACAAAGAAAATTACATGGCTGACTATGCTTCATCCCGTGTAGTGGTTGATTCATGCTCATGCTGTTGTGAATGCTGCGTTCCAAAGCCATACGATCCTTTCAATCCGAAACAAGAATTATGTTGCGGAGTAGATGAAGATAAAGCCGAAAATACCTGCGATTGCATTAGATATATTAGAGAAGCACGTTCTTCTCGAGTTACGAAAGAGGAACTTCAAGTTATCATTGATGAAAATGCAATTATTCCTCCTACACCGAAATCAGCTGGAATTGCATTCTTCAGGACTAAAGAAGGATACCATGTTGTTCAAAAGGAGTTTGAGCCAATACAATACGGTTCTTGGCAAGAAAACAGAGTTCGTGAAAATATTTCAAAAGATAAAATAATTTACAAGTGCAATGCTCGCTACATATACAATGAAAACATGAGACAAGAGATAGAACGTGCTAATGCTGCCGCTCTCGAAAAAGTTAAAGGAGTTTCAACTTATGAAACTTCTTATGACCAGTTCGAGTTCAACGGAATGACAAAAAGAGCTATTTATGGCAACAATTGTGTATTTGATGTATTCTCTACATGCTGCTATCGATTTTTCTACGAGTTTCTTTTCATGTGCGGATATAATGGAATTTCTGACTATTTTTGGAACAGAAATGCTCAAAGAATTGTCTTTAAGTCCACAAAAGAGATCTCAATGGATGATTCTCTTCGTGCTAAGAGCGGAGAAAGAGATCAAGCTAATTCAAATGACAACATCGATGATTCCGCTAAGGAAGAGGAAATTCACCAGAGCTTGGTCTAACTTATTAAACATTTTTTCAGTACATCCCAATAACATAGCCTTAAATTGGATATTTAAGGCTGATTTTCAATGACGCTTCACGCCAGTTGTCAAAAATATGAATTAAAGTCAGATGGGCGTAAGTGCAGCCTTAATATAAATCAGGTAAATTTCATCAGACCATGTGATAACTCAATCCTCTGAAATAGTCCGGTAAAATTAAGTGTCTCAAGACAATTTCAATATAAGCTCCATTTTTAAATAAATTTTAAAAATCGAGGATTGAAAATTGGCTTGAGACCTTCATATTTTCAATGTATATAAGATATTTAGGTGTGAAAAACTGATTTAATTTAATATTATTAAACATTTAAAACAACAAACAAACAATATATAAATATTAAATTAATATTGAGAAGTAATTTTTCAATCCTCTCATTTTCTTTTGTATGTTTGACAACTTTTTATCAAAAGAAAATCTAATAGGAGTTTTTACGTAGTCCTGTATTCTTGGATATGTATCAGTGAGAGCATTTCTCTCCATTTCCTGTTCATATTCCAATAAATTCGTTTCATTTTCTTTGAAAATCTTTTTAATCAAATTTTCTCTTTCATGACTCAAACTTTTTGATGGAAGAGTGTGTTTCGGCCACTTTCCATTATGTGCTGCATATACAACCATTTCCAAGGCCTTCATAAATGGTTTTACTGTAATATTTCCGAGTTGTTTTTTGAATCTTGATATATCATCACTTCCATAGTAATAAAAGAACAAATCAAGGGTATGAGCAATCGCAAGGCATGGGAAGTTACAGAAAAGGCCATCTATTAATAAACAACTCGTATTTGGATGCATAAAAATAATATTAAAAGAAGTTGAACCGGTAGCACTAACAAAAACTTTGGTTCTTGCAAACAAATGCATTGCTCTTTCAATATTATAGACTGTGTCTGGTGGATATTGAGTCCATTTGATTTCAGGATATTTATTTTGAGCTGCATCGAATAATTCTTGCATATTCTTGACATGTCCCCAATTATTCGATTCTTTGTTTATAAATATATATTCTGTTGGCTTAATATTTGTCAAATTATTATTTCTGTAAATTATGTCATGTAAATCTTTAAATGAAACTTGGAGACATGAAATTCCGAAATACCCGCACGAAATGTATAAGTCTTTGACGAAAATCCATTCTTCTTTCAGTATATGTACTCGGTCAGAACTAATTCCGAGAATTTTCATGTATTGTTGAGCTTGACTTTCTGCAGATCGAAGAAATATATGCGCATCTTTTAGTATTTCGCTTGGAATGCTGAGAATACCTCCAATCATGTCTTGAACTACATGGCCGAATTGAGGATGAAAAGAAAATCCAATAACAGCTTTGTCATATCGTAAAAGAGTGTGCCCGTAATCAAATGAATACGGATCAATGTCGTAGTAATGCTTTGCAGGCAAGATAAAATTCCCACCATAGGCTAGAATGCCTTGCCTACTTACATCGCAGTATATATAATGCTGAAATACTGTATGCTGATATGCTAATGACTTTTCATCATACGGAACGCCATTATCTTCGTCAGTTTCGATCGTCATTAAAACTTTATCTGGATGATAGCTTTGTAGAATAGTGTAATTGTGAACAATCTCGGTATTCCATAGATAGGGCGCATAGAATTTGTTTTGGTATTGATAAACAATTATTTTTGTAGTTGGAAACGATTTATCAAAGAAAAAAGTGGACAAAGAAGCAATAATAAGCATGAAATTCACAATCTTCATGATGATGCCCAGATAATTAGGTTTTCCGCCATCTTGTTCAACAGGTAAAGTATTAATTTTGGTCAAAAGAATGTAAAAAAAATTTCTAAAACTAAAAGTTTTATTGCTTATATCGAGACTATATACATACTTTTAAATTCAGATGATGATCATAGGGTATTATTCAAAGATCCTATGTTAAACAAGTGCATTCCATCGCGTTTAGGCGTTTATCCATATAATGATAAAGTCCATTGGTAAAGTTAAACCAGAAGACTTATTAATCATAGATCCATAAAAAAAGAATCTTGTTCAATGCAACACTCGAACATTCAATAGATTAAGTTTTTATGAGAGAGTTAGGACTCATTATTTTGGAAAGGAGCAGCATTATCCTGATTGCAATGCTAAAGTTAAGCATGTCGCAATTGCCAAAAGGGGGTCTATTTTTGAAGAAATATTGCCCACGTGGGAAATAGTGTAAAGTATTGAATTCAGAGGAAAATTACAAAAATATTTATTTTGAAGGGATTTTGGTCATAAAACATGTATTTATTATAGGTGTAAATTACTTGGCTTGATGCATATGCTCTAAATATTTACTTAAATCACATAAATCATCTACATTTGAAAATTTCATAATTTGATTTCTCTTCAAATTTGCTTTCAGATTGAACTTTCAGGAATGTTACATTCATACGAATATAATTATCAGAAAATATAGAATCATATAGTACTAAGGTAGTCACAAAATCTAAGTAGTGAGGCTCTCAAACATTGAACCGTACTCCATACAAAATTTGTGTACCCTCACTACTTAGATTTTGTGGCCTTCAATTGAGAGGTTAGTTTTGATAGAGCAAGTTATAAAATTAAAAGGGAAAAATAAATAAAATTTAAACATTTAATTATATATAATGTAAGGAGTGTAATTTCAAATTTTCTAAAAACTATTCAAATTTGAGCATTTTTTTGGAAATAGTAAATCTAATATGTACATCTAATAACAACATGATTCATCACCTTTTCAACCTCTGCAGTCAATTTTTTGAAATTTGATTGAAATAAATGTAGCGAAAATTACATTTCATTAGGGAATATATGAGTTTCTCTGGAAACAGGCTGATAAATTTTAAATTTTGTCCAATCAACATGAATGCATTGAGAAATTTGGATTGATTTTCTGGTAGAATCTGGAACAATTCAACCATGTATAAATGGATCATGTAATCATCATGAAATGTTAGTGTTAGAGTTCAAAAGAAACAGAATGAGTGGAAATCAAACACAATCTGAATAATTTTAAACGTATACAATCTTTAAGTTTGTATTTTGAATTCTACATATATGATTGTGTAATTCGTTCTTTCAAATTTTCGGATTCAGGCATGTTTTGATAAAATTCATTCCCAAAAACGTCAATTAACAATTAAATTTAGTGTATTTTAAATATATATACGTATTATATTTTATAAATTATATTAAATTTGCAAAATTTTAAGTTTTAAACAAAAATAAAAAATGTTCAAAATATGAAATTATGCATAGGATATTAAAATTTACATGTTAGCAATTTTTTTGAATTGCTTTCAATTTTCATATTGAAATTTTTAAGATTTTTTTCTGAAATAATAAGCAAGAATATCAACCTAAATAATATTAAATTCCATGCGTTAATTTCCCCTCAAAAGTCATTGACCGCCTCTCAATCTAGATTTTGTGAGTACTTTATTATAATCTCGGGTTCATCCTATTCAATTTTGAATGCTTTACAAATGTGCTTTCAAATATTGAATTGAAATGGACCTAAGATTTTAACGCGATGATTATTTTTAACCTTAAAAGCAAAGATAAAAGATTTTTATTAAAATAGTAATGCTATACAATAAATGAACATTTTCTGTATAGCTTTTGCTCTTTTGAAGGGAAAGAGATTTTTCTGATCTTCATTTCGAGTATAATAGTTAATGATTAACTGGTAAATGGCTTTCCTTTGGACAGGAATCGATTGGCTTTCTAATTTTGTTTGTTTTGCCTATGATAAATTAGAGATTGCAAGGGAAATGTGTCTAAAAATCTGAAATTTAGAATTGGCAGACCTGGGATAAGTATTTTACAGCAGACGATAACACTTTTTGGTAGAATTGCACGGTCATTACCATAAAAAGAACTGCATCATGGAATTGCCGTTTAAAAATTATAATGTAATCAAAAAAGAAGAATATTATAAGTTACGTGATATAATGGTGATTGCCTTGCTGATTTTCCATTAAAAATCTTTACAAGATGCAATTCTTCGAAATTTCATGATAATTTGCATTTATTTCTACGCAGAATATTTTCTCTTCCCATTTCTAATGTGAAAACGAACTCAAAATCATCAGATATTAATAAATCATCTAATTTGACATTATCGTTTTTAATTCAATTTTTATTTTAGTTATTATTAATTAGAATACTATTTTAAACCTATTCATCAAAAATTTTTATTCACAATATTTTCTTTGTCCGGACCCCAAATTTTGAGACTACTATATTATGCTCTCTGAAGTATTGCCCATGGGCAATAAAATTTGGGCAATAGTACGTTATTTGATTTTTTGGCTTTTTTGAAATATTTACACTAGTGCCCAACCTTAAACTTTTTTGGGCAATTGGACGTTATTAAGAATTACCCACCTGCAATAATCAGTGAAACTTCAGAATTGTGTTAATCTCCTGTATAAGATCAATAGCCATCGATAATATTATTCATGAACTCTGTAATTTGATTTAGATGTTCGCATAGATAGCATACTTTGGTAGATATGTCAGACACAATGCCAATAAACATATTTGTAAGGGTTATTTTAAAGGCAGATAAGGATTTTCTCAAAATAATATATAATTTCAAAATTTATCATAATTTTGACTAATCTCGTATAGTGTAAGATCAATTTTGTTGATTTTGAGAACATTTAGCTACAATTATCATCCTCAATATTATGAACTTGTTCATGAGAATTTAAATAATTCTATTTCCATCTTTTTTAAAGTGCAAATAAAGTTTATTGTATATGAGTAAATTTGATTTCCAATAAACTTTATATATAAAAGAGAATGCAAAAAAATATGCATTTTTTTTAGGAACAAAAAGAATATATGAGCTTTATAACATGCCTATTTTAGTTTTTGATTGACCGCGAAATTTGAGCCTAGAAGGCTCAAATTTCGCGGAAGATTTTCCAAAAGTATTGCCCAAAATGCAAAAGAATTGCCCAAACCGACATGCTTAGCTAAAGAATGCGTGTGGTATAAAAACCTTTTGAATAAAATACGAATACATGTTTTAATAAAAAAAAAGTCATGATACATACGTATTTATTATGCAATCTCATTTGCGCAATTTGAAATGTTTCTCCATACAAAATCTCTATGATGAATCAATTGAGAGAAAAGTTCGTTTTTTTATTTTATTGTAACAAAATATTTTGTAAATCTCTGAATGAGTGCTGAACAGGAAGAACTCCCATCTAGCGATATTAATCCAGGCAATGCTCTTGCACGAGTTCAGGAATGCCAAAAGTACCTTACACTTCAAATGTGGACACAATACTCGTTTTTATACAAGCTTCTTGCACAATTTCAAGATATCAGAGTACGCGGAGCTGGAAAAATGCTTCGCGATGACGATGAGTTTACAAAAGCATGGAATGCCTTACGCACTTCTTCTGTAGACATGATGCTCAAATGCTTAGAAAGTGCTCAGAGTTTTGAAGAATTTAAGCTTTGGATAAATCACCTTGCTCCAATTATCAATGATCCTCGCACATTATGGAATATAATTCATACAGAAGTACAAATCAGTTTGAAAGTTACACTTGAGCAATCCAGAGAAATTCAAGACGCCTTCTTTACGCATGAAATGCTCTTTGAGTATAGTTTAGAATCATTTTTACAATCAAGTCTCTGTGATTTTAAAGAAGCAACAACAGAAGAATCATTAGTCGATATTTTCTATGCAGCAGCAGGATTTATTCGAGCATGCCAGCTTCCTGATGAGTACAGAATTACTCAAAAGCCTTTCATTGATCATGTCGAAAATTTACTCACTCATTTTACAGAAATTCCAGATTTTGATGCCAATAGATTTGTTTGGCTTGTTGAGTCTATTCACGACCACTTGCATCTAATGGAAAATAACTTTATTCAAATTTGCAAATCTGTTTTAGAAAAAATGATCAGCCACAAAGATACAGGCGGCGGCTCAATCTCAAAATTATACAAGATGTGCGTTATTTCTACTTCTCCGTTTTTACAATCTCTCCAAGTTATTAGAGATTCCATTGATAAAGCTTTCGAAGCTGTTTTAACTGAACAGCACAGCTTTGCAAGGAAGTACATATTCGGTGGCTACGTTAATTGCCTTTGGACTGGTCCCGAACAAAAGCGAATTTCGGATCCTCTCAGAACATGGGTATTATACATCAATAACCTTCAGAAGAAGATCAAACAGCACTCGGAGCTTCCAGTTCTCCTTCTTGCCGATTTCATTGACGATTCTTTACAGTATTTCACCGGTTATTACGGTGAAGTTCAGCCAACAAAAGAAAGAGCAGTGAATTTGAGGATGGATCTCTTCACTATTGTACAAACAGTGAAAGATGTGTATCCCATAAAGTTCACTGAAGCTGCCCTCAAGAAGTTGTGGTTCTTAATGACAATTGCAGCTGTTTGTGGTGCTTCTGACGAACAATTACAGAATATTAAACAAGAAAACGCAAAAAGTGATGATCCTTTCCTTGGATTGAAACATAATGGTAGAGATTTCGAGGATTATAAGCTTGCTTTAGGCTGTTTACAGAAGAAATTTGTGGATGAAGTTGATTCTTTCCCAATTATGATTGAATTTATTAGAAAACGTATGAATGGTGTTATTGATGAAGAATAAATTAGTTATTTCATGGATTTATTTAATCAAATTCTATTTTTATTTGTATTTTTTTGGAAATTTAAAAATACACTTACTCTGATATTCTCTCGAAACATGATATTTACTATAGTATTATTATTACTATTCTATTAATGGGATCTGTTCAATTCATGTGATTTTGAAAGTTGTTAAGCAAATCAACGCTTTTGATGTGTTTTTTGACGGGTGTGAAGCCTAATAAAAATATGACAAAAGGATAGTTCTCAAGAATATGATTATTTTTAATGCAGAACAGTTTTTACAACAAAAATAATTGTATGTTTGAGAATATGTATGTGTATGTATGTTTAATTTTGAATGATAATTATTATAGAAACCATCTTTATCATTTTCATGGAATACATCAATAAAATTTTTGGCATAAATTTTCTGAGGTGTGATTACAACTATTTTTTTTAAACTGATTCATGTTCATTTAGTACAGTTAAGTTTGAACATTATTTTAATGTATTTCAATAATAATTATATTATATTTGTGATTTTAGCTCTAAATTCTAGGCTAAAAAGAATATTAAATATTTTGTTCTAAAATCAACGTTGGTTTAATTAATTTGTTTATTGAGTTTTGATTCTTCCCTTGAGAAAGCTGATAAGTCAACGAAATGTAGATATAAGTATGCCGAGAATAAGTAAGTTTTTTTTTTCAATGAAATTTAACATAATCCGACATGTTTAATATAAATGACCATGGAAAGAAGTGTGACAAAACATTCTGGTTTACACGAAATTTTGTAAAATCGTTGAATACTTCTGAAATTTTATTTATGGAATTCAAAAATAATTTTCATTAATGAATAGTGGTAAGATGCAACAGAGAAAGGTAAAAAGATTTACTCCAGAAGATGATTGCTTAATAAGGAACTACTGTAATAAGTATACTATTAAATGTGCTGTAAAAAAACTTTCGGTAATAATGGAGAGATCTGAAAGATCCATTCGAGAAAGATTTACAAAGTTCCTTGATTTGAACTGCAATCCCTTTACTAAAGAGGAAGATCAAACAATTCTGGAGAAACATGCTCAATTTGGTAATAAATGGAAATTGATTGCATCTTTTCTTCAATCCAGATCAGATATACAGACAAGGATCAGATATAAACAGTTGAAAAAAGAGACTGATTTTTCTGGAAACTCAAATCAAATCGATGATCACAATGAAAACAGCGAATTATTAAGTAATTACGATTTTACATAATTAAGTATTGATGATTTCTATCCTGAATTTTAATTTTTTATTATGAATTTAAAGATTTAAATTAAATTATTTGATTTACTTTTCAAATTAATGTCTTGTTATTGAAAATAGTTATTAAATGATATGTGTAATCTAATCTAATAATTTAGTAATGATGAAATTATCCTTATAAAATCAGATTATAAAAATTAAAGAATATGATGTTTTTACCTAATAAAATGGATATACAATAAAATCATAATATAATTTTAGATATATTGGCCGGATGAAAATTTTTCGCTCAGAAACACAAGGGTTCTCAATTTTTCAGAACATGATGCCTTTCAATTTGCAACGGTTAATTGAAAAAATTTGAAAAGGAACTGTTAATTTTGGAAATATACTGGTAATCGTATAATATGACAATTTACAAATTTTCTTCGGAAAAGTCGGAAATCTCGTTAGTATTTTGTGAGCTATTGCCAATCCTACATGGATAAAAATTTTTGCATTTCATGATCAACTAAAGAAGTAAAGGTACTTTATCGCTTAAAAATACTTCAAATTAAATCCGAAGTTATAAATATATTTAAATTATAAAATTTTATGAGTTAAATAGATGATATTCATGAATAACAATTCTCCTGACGGTATAATTTAAGTTTGTTAAAACGACCGAATACAACTCAGTTTAAAACGATCGTGAAACTAATTTTTCTATAAAAGATAAAAAGAAATTTTGCCAAGTTAGACTCGAACCTGCACTGTTTGCATTACGAAATTGAACTCTCAGCACTAATACGCATTTGAAGCTTATTGTCATTTAGAAATTTATCTTCTTCTAATGAATTTAGATTTTCTCATATATCAGTTTAATTTCTAAAATAAATATTTGAGTGGAAATAAATCATATAAAGAATGAGGAACTTGATAAGTGCTTGTGATCAGACAAATCTGTTTTTCAATAAGACATCTTAGAAAAAAAATTGTAATTTGACTATTTCAATATCATAAACACATTTCTATTGTTATAAAAGTCTTAAGTGCTTGTGATCAGACAAATCTGTTTTTCAATAAGACATCTTAGAAAAAAATTGTAATTTGACTATTTCAATATCATAAACACATTTCTATTGTTATAAAAGTCTTAAGTGCTTGTGATCAGACAAATCTGTTTTTCAATAAGACATCTTAGAAACAAACTTACTTAATTTTTGTTTATTCTATCATTCCCTTACTAAATAAATCTTTAACTTTCCTTCTAGTTATATTTATCTATTCATCATCAATTTATGTTTTTTAACTTTTTTTCATATATATATTTTCTGAATGGACACACGTTTTCATAAATTTACACCAAAAATATATTTTAGTTGAAAAGGTTAGATATAACCCGATATCTACCCTCATTTCTACCCTCATGAATTTTCATGAATTTTATATATTAATGTTTTCATAAATTTACACCAAAAATATATTTTAGTTGAAAAGAGAAAGGGACAAACTATCCAGTGTCACTTTTCAAAGGAATAAAAAAAATAATAAAGATGGGGAACAGGACAAATTTGCCACACGGCACTTTTTTTAAAAAATTTAATGGAGCGGAGCGATACTCTGCTGCAGGAGCCCCAAGGCTCCCAATCATTACGAAAGGGAGCCTCAGGGCTCCTGAGAATCCATCAGCAGAGGCCTTTTCATTTGGCCTCTGCTGATCAAAGATTCGGCGAAGCCATTCTTCGTCTCAGGAGCCCCAAGGCTCCCAATCATTACGAAAGGGAGCCTCAGGGCTCCTGAGAATCCATCAGCAGAGGCCTTTTCATTTGGCCTCTGCTGATCAAAGATTCGGCGAAGCCATTCTTCGTCTCAGGAGTCCCAAGGCTCCCAATCATTACGAAAGGGAGCCTCAGGGCTCCTGAGAATCCATCAGCAGAGGCCTTTTCATTTGGCCTCTGCTGATCAAAGATTCGGCGAAGCCATTCTTCGTCTCAGGAGCCCAAGGCTCCCAATCATTACGAAAGGGAGCCTCAGGGCTCCTGAGAATCCATCAGCAGAGGCCTTTTCATTTGGCCTCTGCTGATCAAAGATTCGGCGAAGCCATTCTTCGTCTCAGGAGCCCAAGGCTCCCAATCATTACGAAAGGGAGCCTCAGGGCTCCTGAGAATCCATCAGCAGAGGCCTTTTCATTTGGCCTCTGCTGATCAAAGATTCGGCGAAGCCATTCTTCGTCTCAGGAGTCCCAAGGCTCCCAATCATTACGAAAGGGAGCCTCAGGGCTCCTGAGAAACCTCTTTGAGAAGGTTTTCTTAAAGAAAACCTTCTCAAAGATGATTGTCAGCATTCACTCAAAATCTACCAAGAGTTTCAAAGTTTCAAATCTATCTGAAATGAAGCTTTGAATCTCTTGTATATCTAATTGTAGAGGTACCTTTTCAAAATGTCTTCTATTGATTAAATTTAATCAGTAAAAGTCATTTTGAAAAGGTACATCTCTATAATTGCTATTGAGCATTCACTCTTGGAACCTTGGAGCTCTTGTGTAGTGCATGAAAACTCCAAGATTCTAGCATAAAACATATATCATAGACATAATTTCTTCAAATATAATTTAAGGTTATTTTAAAAAATTAGAAAAGCGTAATTTAAGGTTATTGAAAAAGTGACACCTGGCAAATTTGTCCCGCACTCTAGTTGAAAAGGTTAGATATAACACGATATCTACCCTCATTTCTACCCTCATGAATTTTCATGAATTTTATATATTAATGTTTTCATAAATTTACACCAAAAATATATTTTAGTTGAAAAGGTTAGATATAACCCGATATCTACCCTCATTTCTACCCTCATGAATTTTCATGAATTTTATATATTAATGTTTTCATAAATTTACACCAAAAATATATTTTAGTTGAAAAGGTTAGATATAACTCGATATCTACCCTCATTTCTACCCTCATGAATTTTCATGAATTTTATATATTAATGTTTTCATAAATTTACACCAAAAATATATTTTAGTTGAAAAGGTTAGATATAACACGATATCTACCCTCATTTCTACCCTCATGAATTTTCATGAATTTTCCCGAAATAAAAAATAAAGTTAGTTTTTATTTTATTTTTATTTTTTTATTTTTATATAAATATGATTACAAAAATCGAAACATCCGCACTTTCGACATCAACGGCACCAAATTCATTAGTCATGAATCCTACGTCAATGTTAGTAGAAATGAAAAACTTCATTCCTTCTTCATTTACTTTCGAAACAGAAATACAAAAAATTAAGCAGGAACTTTTAACAAGTAATTTAGACTGTAGCGCGAAAGATGAAACAAATGGAGAGGAGTTATATGAAATGCAAGATATCATAGACCATTTACCTAAATTACCTGAAGTTCAGCAACAGAAACTAACTATTCCTGAATTCGATGAAATTGAAGTTAAAGTTAGTGATTCTGCAGAAATTAAGAAATTCATTCGTAAGGTAAATTCTGAATTCTTAGGTTTTCATTGTAACCACAAAGTTATGGATAAAGACTGCGACATGATTTATAAAAACATTTCAGATATTTATAAATCTGAGGAATTTAAGACATACGATAACTTTGTTTCATTAGCTGCTAGATGTGTGTGGGAGATTAGAGATAAAGACAGAAGAGGTAAAGTATGGCATGAATAGATAAAACCAACTGCTTCAGATTTAAAGAAAGCCATTGATGCTTTAGTTATTTTAGCAGGTAAGGTTTCAGAATATAACGCAAAAATGAATCCTCAGTGTTCGAAATGTAAAGCAGCAATTAGGAAATATAACTATTCAGTAAAAGAGATAGAAAGAATGAGAAACGATTACGAAGATTTAAAGAGGGAGGCAGAGAAACCAGCAGAAAATAAAATGAACATGTTAGAATTTCTGAATAAAAACTATCCCACAGCCGATGATTTCCTTTTATCTGATGTCAAGAAGAAGTATAAAGAAACTTTCGGTATCGTTAAAACTTTTGATATATTAACTGAAGAAATAGAAGCTACAAAAATATTTAAAATTTCACGAATTCATAACGTATATCATGTGAAACGTTTATAAAATAACTGGGGTAGAAATGAGGGTAGATATCGGGTTAGATCTAACCTTTTCAACTAAAATATATTTTTGCTTTAATTAAATGTTTTCCGGAAACGTCGATGAAAATCATATGGACAAATTATATGAAAAAATTAATAATGATTACCCCTCATTAACCAGGAAAATGACGGATTCTATAGTTCGTAAATTCGATGAAATACAGGATATGTGGTTCGACAGATTCGACATGAACGATAAGGAAAAGAGAAAGAACGATAACAATTTACTTACTAAAAGAATCCTAAAATCTAAAATAGGTGAAGCTTCAACATTTAATACAGTACATAACTTTTACACCACTGTTTATATTTTCAATAATTTATTTAACGATGAACGAGAAAAAAAAGAAATGTTTAACGGAAGAAATGAATATGATTTTATCCTTTGTGCTGTTCGGGATGTTGACATGAAACTAAAGAAAATATTCTTATTACAAAATGATACCGTTAAGATGAAGTCAATGAATTTTTAAATCGTGATTTAAATGAAATTGATGAAGTTATGACCGAATGTTATAAAAAGTTCAAGGGGTAGAAATGAGGGTAGATATCGGGTTAGATCTAACCTTTTCAACTAAAATATATTTTTGGTGTAAATTTTACTGACTGACTAACTGACTGACCGTAACTAATTATTTACAAAAATAATTCATAAATGCCTTCCTCCTTTCGTACCTGTTGTCTAAATGTCATGTTGTCATCATTCTTAAAAGAAGTTAATTAACCTGGTGACATGATGACGTGGTGACACCTTCAGTTATTCAAAAATAAATTTTCTTATAAAGCTTCAGGGTCTATTTCCTCAATCATTTCCGTTCCTTCTTCATCATATTCAATCGTTGCTTCCTCAATTACTGGTAGGAGCTTATTGATTATATCTTTATTCGTTATTGTCTTCAGAGATGAAGGATAATATTTCACAACTACTTCACCTGGAGGGCTCTTTGAGCCCATCTCGGCGCCTTGCGCCTTCTTGAATTCTTTCTGCTGTGATAAATCTAAAACAATGCTGAAAAATTCAACGTTAGAGTTCTTCATAATCGTATAATGTGTATCTTTGATATTTACAAATATTCCTTTCTGTTTAAGTAATACTGCTATTTCATGTGGTGTGTAACGTTTTCTGTCAATAATGATAGCGTATGGTTTAACGAACTGACCGTATTTAGATTCTTTCACAGACTTTTTATTGAATATAACGTTCACGTTTTTTCCATTTATGAATTCACCCTTAACAGCAGTAGCGAGAGCATTGTATGAATAGAACTTGTACTCAGACATTATTTTATTAAAATTAAAAATATAAATTATTTAAAAAAATTAAGTTTATTTTTAAATTATATTTTTTACGGAAAATATTTTTTTTATTTTCCATAAAAGATGTATAAAAAGCTATCTAGATTAGACCATGAAGAAATTAAGAAGTTATTGAAGAATGCTGACATTGAAGTTAGCAAAAGATATGCGACTAACAAATCTTCATTAGCTAAACACCTCAATGATTACAGAGGTGTAGTCACTTACGAGAAAATTAATGATTACATTAATAACAAAACATTTCCTTTAAATGATGTTCAGGTTAATTTATATCATAAACAATCAGTACCGAAGGAAGTTAGGCAGGAAATTCATGATATGATGAATGTTGATGTAGGAAGGACAAGGACAGCAGTACCGAAGGAAGTAAGAAAAGAAATGTATGATATAACTAATGTGGATGTAGGAAAGACGCGTAAGGCAGTACCGAAGGAAGTTAGGCAGGAAATGTATGATATAACTAATGTGGATGTAGGAAAGACGCGTAAGGCAGTACCGAAGGAAGTTAGGCAGGAAATGTATGATATAACTAATGTTAGTGTTGGGGAAACGAGAAAGAAGAAAAGCGATGAAGAAAAGAAAAATATAGCTGTAAAATATGCAAAAGCAATTGCACAATTACGCAAAGCAAACGAAGTTATTAAATCTATAGACGATAAAGCTCTCGATGGTGAGAAATGGTTAAAGAAGGATGAAAATAATAAACGCAAAAATGTTAAAGCAGAAAATAGAATCATAGATTTTAATATTCGTGAACTCAATGAAGAAAACAGAAATTACCTACATGAACGTTTCGGTAAAATGTTTATTAGGCTTCTGCAGAAGATAAAAGTAAATTCACAGCAAAAATGGATGATTTGTTATAAACTTGATGGTAAATTTACTAATTCAACATTGAATATCGAGAACATCGGAGCTTTGCTTCATCAGTTAAAGCAATAAAACTTTATAACAGAGATTGAAGCAAACGCAGCCGGAATAATTGAAAAACATTATGATTTCTTCATGACAAATATTAAGAACCTCGAAGAAATTAAAATGTATGATTTAACTGAATATGAAGGATTAACGATGAGCGATATTAAGAAAGGTAAGCCACAGAAGAGAGAAAAAAGAGATGAAAGTAAATTAACAGCACGTCAGCAAAGATTATTAAACAGACTTAAAGAAATAGGAGATAAACAGGATATAGATGATTTTTGGAATGAAATTCTTGATGAAAAGAGAACGAATAAAAAGAGAAGTGGTGAGTTTTGGAAATATATTTGCAGATTACCTATAAATCTTGAACGCTATCAAATTTTCAATGAACTTAACAAAAGAACTGCTAAGTTGATGACAGAAGATAACTGCTTCGTTTATGCTTGCATTCAGGCTGGAGTTGATGTGCAGACGGTAGACCACATGCGTGAAGTTATTAGAGTTAGAGATTTTCCACAAAGTAAGATTCAGGAAATTTCTAACGCAACAGGCATAGCATTTAATGTTACCATTGGTTATTTCAATGACTCTAGACATAATGAAATAAAGAGATATATACCAAAAGAATGTGAAACTGTTCGAACTATTGACTTACTTCTTGTTGAAGACCATTACATGTTAAATGAAAGATTACCTATGACAACATATTTTATCATAAATTATAACGAAATTCTCAAATCATTAGGCGGCTGGAATATTGAGCGTCAAATGAAAATATATAAGAAAAGGGAAAATAGATTTGTTATTGATTCTACGCGAACAACTCCTTTATGGGATATTTTGAAAACATTAAGAGAGTGCAATTACTTTGAACCGTTATCTTATGGTGAACTTTTCACTTATACAACAGATTTATATAAACAAAAACTTGCACCGTTTAAAGATTTAAATTATACCCCGAACTACTGTGTTCAGTTAAAGAAAAAGTCTGAAAGTAAAGATAGTGATAAATCAAAACAAAAATTCATTCCTGAACACATTTTCTTCGCTGACTTTGAATGTAGCACTGATGGAGTTCATAAAGCCTTTAACATTTGTTATGATAGTGAAGATGGAAAGATTAGCGAAAGCATTTGGGGTCAAAATTGTGCAACAAAATTTTTAGAAAGAATTCCTGATAAAAGTTTAATATATTTTCATAACCTCAGTTATGATATCAATTTCATTTTAAGACATTTAACAGAAATTAGCGGAACACCAATTATTAAGGGTTCTAGAACAATGCAGATAACGGGAATATATAAAGGTAAAGCAATCATTATTAAAGATTCATACACTGTTATAAATAAGAAGCTTAAACTATTTCCTGAAATGTTTCATTTGCAGTGTGGTGAAAAGGAAGTATTTCCGTATCAATATTATTCAAGCTCTTTATTAGTTAATGATAACAAAACTGGCGTAATTTCTGAAGCGTGTAAGTTTGTAAAAGATATTGAAACGTTCATGAAAAACATAGATTTAATCGAAAACTGCAGAATAGATGAAAACCATTTCGATTTAGAAAAATATAGCTCATTTTATTGCAAACAGGACGTAAGGATTTTAAGAGAAGGTTTTGTTAAGTTCAGAAATGATATATTGAAAGAGTTTGATTTAAACGTTTATGATTACGTTAGCATTTGTTCAATCGCTAACAAACTTTTCGAAAACAGAGTATATTTCCCGAATGGAAATTTATATGACCTTTCAAATAAACCAAGAGAATTTATTTCACGCTGTATTCAAGGTGGAAGATGTATGCTGTCAGATAACATGAAACAAAAGAGCGAAAAGAAACTCATTGCTGACTTCGATGCTGTTTCATTATATCCCTCAGCTATGCGAGACTTTATACTTTAGAAGGAATTCCAAAGGTTATGAAGAAAGAAATGTTAAACAGTGAATATTTGTTAAAACATTTATTCGATGATGACCAGGGCGAGCCTGAAGGTGAGAAATTCATTTCCGGATTCTTTGTTTTAATAAAAATAACCGAGATTAAGATTAAAAGGCACTTTCCATTAATAACAGTAGATCCAGAATTAAACCCGGAGCTAAAGGTTCCAAGAAGTTCTAACACATGCTGTTTAATGTATGTGGACCACATAGCTTTGCAGGATTTAATAAAATATCAGGGCATCAGCTGCGAAGTATTACAGGGTTACTACTACGATGAAAAAAGAGATTTTAGAATAAGAGATGAAGTAAAGAAATTGTTTGAATTGAGATTAAAGTATAAGAAGGAAGAAAATCCGCTACAAGAAAATATTAAATTAATTTTGAACAGTATTTATGGAAAAACTATTTTGTCCCCGATAGAGTCGAAAATTAAAATCATTGATGATAAAGATGCTGTTAGGTATGCCATCAGAAATTATAACCATATCATTAAATTTGAAGGTTTAGATGGTTCGGATAAAACTATTTTCAAACTAACTAAAAGCATTTGCAGACACTTTAACTTTTGCCCTTAGGTGTTAATATCTTATCTATGTCGAAACGTATCATGAATGAAGTATTTTGCACTGCTGAGGATATGGGCTTAAATCTTTACCAGGACTGTGATAGCATGCATATTTTCAATGAAGACATACCACGTTTAGCTCATGAATTTAAGAAGATATGGTCGCGAATTAATAGGAAAGAATTTAGGTCAGTTTCATTCAGATTTTGCAGAAATCACAAAAGATAAACAAAGTTTAGCTTACAAGTCGATATTTTGTGGAAAGAAGACTTACATAGACCTTTTAATAAATGACATTGGTGAAGTTGCATTTCATGCACGTATGAAAGGCGTAAAACAAGATGTCATTGCTTTAACCGCTAACGAAATGTTTCCTGACGCAGTACAATGCTATTATAATGAAGATAAGAACATTCATATTCCTGTTGGAAAATATGATAAAGATTCTGAGTTCAGTATAATGAAATTATATCAAGCCCTTCACGATGGTCAGGAAATCGCATTTGATTTATGCAAATCAACAGCACCCTGTTTTGAAGAGAAGTTTAACTTTTCAATAACGACTAAAAATACTTTCATAAGGAAATTAAAGTTCTGAAGCTGAAGTTAATGATATAATATATTTTTTATCGTTCAAGACAAAAATAAACTTTTCATATTAAATTATGTAAGCGTTTGAATTTACTATACGTAATGCATGTTCTTTTTCCATTAACATCATAAACATTAACATATAATGAACCATTTATGTTTTCATTAATGTATAGTTCTTTATACTGACGACCGTTATAATAATAAAACAAATCTGCATCGATGTCGTAAAATAAATCCTCAAATTCATGATTTCCATAATGTGAAACAGTAATTGAATTTTCACTGATTTCATCAACGAAATTATATTCTACTCCATTTGCTTTACTTCTATTTCTATTATTTGTAGAACTTGAACACCAATGTAGATTATCAATCATTTATTATTATTTCTAACTTTATCGTAATGGTCAACTTCCCCAAAACTATCAGGATTATCAATCCACTGAATAGCTATTAATCTATGTTTAAGATATTTTTTACCGTTAAGGGTTAATCTTATATATCCATTCTTTTCTTCATACTCACTGACAGTCTTTCCGTTTTTCTTCTTCTTATTTGATACGGATATTTTGTGTTAATTTCGTAATCTTCATCAGCAACTAACGTTTCCCAGTTATTATTTTCCATCGTTTTATAAAAATAAAAAAATCAGAAAATTAAAAATTAACTACATTTATTTTTTTTACTCTTCACCTCCATCAGCAGCTAAATTATAATCATCAATTCTAACAGCAGGAATGCCAGCTGGTCTGACTTGAATAGCGAAACAAGCATTTCTAAGAAATCCTAATAAAGGTTTGACAGTGTATTTTTCGCTTATATTTGTATCATCAGCTTTAACACCTAATTTATATGTAATTGGTGCCGTTGATGTTTGACCCTGTTGAAATGTGAAATCAGTTTCCGTAGGGAATCCACAGAGGAAATGAGTGTTATCGTATGATTCATATAAATGTTTAACGCTTCCATCATCAATTAACGACCTCATCACATCTTCATTAAATCCTATCATATCGTTATTTGTATTGCATGCATTAGCAACCATTTCATAGAACACAGGACCATAAGAGCTTCTGGTTCAGCTGGCATACTTCCATAAGCGCCCATTGATAATTGAAGGGTTTCAAATTGAGGATTTTCGAAATTCACGATATAATTATCATTCTTCCTAAATAAAGCCCAAATGCTTTTAACGTTAATTGGTGTATAAGCTGCTGTGAAAGTTGCTGATGGTGAACCTTTACTGAACGAACCGTCCATAGGAATCCAGTCCATTACTTTAATTGGAAAACATAAAGCTTGTGATGTATAATGATCGACTAATTCAGTGTAAATATTTGGATCGAGTGAAAATGCTTTAGGATGAATGAAGCAATCAATGAATTCAGCTGATTTCTTCGTTAATCTTTGTTCAACTGTTGAAACAGTAATTTCACCATTTGATTTGAAACTGCTGTTATCATATTGAATGGTTCATTCCATGGAACAAATTTATTAGTTGGTGGGTCATAATTATCTTTTACCTGACTGATTAAAGAAGGATTATGAGCTAAAATATCTTCTACCGGCAGTGCTGTTACCTGGAATGCATCGCTACTAAATTTAACCTTTAACTGAATGTTGCCTGCAAAAGCAGGAATAAATCTAATAACTTCTAGAATAAGGAATTTACGACATGGAATCTTTATTTTAATGTCAAAATTAATTTCAGCTCCTGCAGCTAAAGGTCCTGAGATAATTTGACCTGTTCGAACTGTTCCAGAACGTTTCCATACATCTTTATGTCTCGTTTTTGAGAAAACATCAACTTTCTTTATTTGTTCTGTAGTCTGTGAATTAGAAATGATATATGCTTCTTCTCTTGCGTTATCCTGACTATAAATAACTCTTCCATTTGCTAATAACTGATATGCTTCAATGGTGTAAATTGATTCATCAAAAACGCCAAAGAAACCTGGAGAATTAGTATTTGGAATTGATGAGCCAGTAATAGCATTATCCATATATTTACTTTTATAGGTAGTTGTAAGGAATGTGTTATAAAGGTCTAGCATATTTTCACCTGGCGGAGATAAATTGAATGTGACCCAGTTATGATCCTTTGCGCTTCCTGGTTGTGATGGAATTTTTGCATCGATATATCTTCTATTAGTATCACCAATATTAATTGCATTATCGATTACATCAAAATATGAACGAATTTGATGGATATGTTCAGCTGGTGTAAATTCGTTAAGCTGTTCGTTTTGCATGTTTTATGTTAGATAAAAATATTTATTTAGTTTAATATTCTAACTCTTCTTCTTAGTTGAGGAATTTGTTTCTTTTGTTCAATAATTTCATGTTTTACGTTTTTAACAAACTCTTCATTAATTTTGGTTTCCTGTCTTTTACTGGTGGGTCTGGATTTTTTGATTCCGTTTGCTTTTCAATGAAATTTACAAATTTAGCTATTAATTCTTGATTCGTTATCGAAAGTACATCGGGTTTGATTTCGGCGCTCTGCGCCAAGATGGACTCTCTGAGTCCTCCTGGTTTAGGTTCTGGTTTAGATTCCGTTTCCTTTATCGTGGGCTTTGTCCTGACAACCTCGCTGTCTTCCGCTTTTGTTTCAAGTTTAGGTTTTATATCTATTTTATCAATTTCCGAATTCGTTAATGGAACTCGTCTTTTTCTTACATAAATTTTTCCATCTTTACTTGTTGATACATAATATAATGGATGCTGAATTCCTCTTGCATCATTTAATATAATCGATTGTCTCTCAGATTTTGATAGGCTCATATTTAATTCAAATAAAATTTTTAAATTTTGAATTTTTTATCGGTAATCAAATGAGTCAGGGATTAGATATTGAAGCCATCAAAAAAGAAATTCGTAAGCAGATATTAACAGAACTAAAGACACCTAAAGCCGAAGAAAAACCAGTAAAACCAGTAAAACCAAAAAGGAAATTAAGTGAAAAGCAGTTAGCCGCATTAGCTGCAGGAAGAGAGAAGAACCCGAGAATGAAAGCAAAAAGAGAACGTGAGGCTAAAGAAAAAGCTGAAAAGGAAAAGGCTGAAGAGGCTCATTGAGCCTCATGAGGGTCGAAGACCCTTTTCCATTGAGAAGAAAGAATAAATGATATATTTTTGTTTGTAATAAATGTATAGACAAGTACCTTTAACAGTTGCTCTCAGTTCTGAAAACGAAAATGTTAAAATAAATGGAAATAGAATTACATTTAAATTACCTATTGACTGGTCTGTTAATATAAATGAAAAATATATTGGTTTATCAAATATGTATATAACGCGAGGATTTAGAAAGGTTGAATTTGAGCTTGAAGTTGTTGTTATAAACGATACACAAGAATTTAAGCAAACTATTCACATATATAAATATTTCAAAGATGATACAACATTATATGAATGCATGAATGATTTTAATGAAATTTTCGAAAAGAAATTTAACAAAAACGCTTTAGGATTAAATGTGTATCTTGATAAATTAGGTGAGAGAATTCAGCAGATTATAGACTTTCATTATGAATTTATTGAACAAATAGATGATTCACATACATGCACATTTGTTATATACTCGCCGTTTAATGAAGTAGCAGAAAAGAGACAAAGTGATTTTAGGATAGGTTTTAAAATTTCTCAGTATAATGAAGACTTCATGAATGTATTTAATTATAAACCCGGAGAAGAACGAACAGTGTTATCACCAATAATAACATATAATGTATGGGACAGAAAACAAGTGATCTTATAGTCAAATATCGCTAAAGGGGTTGAAAATGAATTTATCGGTCATACTAGAGCATCACCATTAACAAATATTAAATATTATAAGTTATCAGGAAATAATAGAGAGTTTTGGATTGATATGTATTCTACACACGATCATAAATGCCCCGTTGTATTACCCGAAGACAGAAAGGATGTTTTCTTCCTTGAGGCTCAGTTAATGAATTCAACTATTGCAACTTTATAAGAAAATTCACAAGGTTAGAAATGAGGTTAGATATCGGGTTAGATCTAGATAAGTAGCGGCGAGATGGGCTCAAAGAGCCCTCTAAATTAATTTTATCATTTATGAAAAATTTAGTTTCTACAGAAATTAAAAAATTTTTGAGATAATTTATTTTTAAGTTTATTTTTTTACTCTGGGTGTTAAAATCTATGATAAAAAAAATAAATAAAAAAAATTTAACGTTAATTTGTAAGTTTATTTTTAAAAAATTATTTTTTTATTTTGTGAAGTGTCAAAAATTTTAAAGTTTATTTTTAAGTTTATTTTTTTTAAATTTTTTTATTTTTGTAAATGTCGAAAATATTTTACGTGTCAAACGGTTTTTGTAAATTCTAGTAATTTGAGTACTAAGGGGCGTAGACCCTTGGTACCCAATTACTAGATACTAACTCCTGTTAAAACATTTTTAACAAGATTGAATTCATGTTCAATGAGACGGATAATTAGTTCGGCGGGTTCATATGTATCCCATTTATCTTTAATTGCGGCATTAAGGGATTCAATAAGAGATGTTGTGAGTATGCCAGCGGTGTAGTCAGCGAATCCTTCAAATGGGTTAATATAGGGTGTCCAAAGGTGTGTTTAGCACAAACCTGAATACTGCGAATAGAAATAAACAAGTTACATATATATAAAGTTTATTTAAATATAATCACCATTGGATTCAATCACGCATTCGCAGCGATCGATCCAGGCTTGAAAGACACGCTTTAAATCATCATGAGAAAATTGCTCAAATTGCTCTCTTACAAAATTTTCAAGATCATCTGGACTCGCGAATTCGCGTCCTTCAGCTCTCTTTTTTAGCGTGCCGAATAAATAAAAGTCAGAGGGTGCAATATCAGGTGAATAAACTGGGTTTGGAACAACTTTGACATTGTTTTCCAACAAGTAATTCATTACCTTATGACTTTTGTGAACTCTTGAATTATCAAAATGAATTGCAAACTTTTGTTTTTGTTGTTTGGATTTCTCAAACTCATCAGAATTGATAATTTGAGTAAGAACATTGTCAATTAGATACTGAGCATTCATCGTATTAGGTTTTTGAAGAATATCAATTGCGATGATGCCATTCACGTCCCCAAAAAACCGACAACATAATCATTGGTGTGTCAATTTTTTTCTTCGGGAATGTTTGCGGATTTTCATCCTTCGGGATCCACATGATTTTGGCTTCTGTTGCATATTGAACCAAGACTCGTCCCCTGTTACTAAAAAGCGAAACTTCTTGGATTGATACGCACGCAATATAGAGAGGAGCTCTTTCGAAGATTGGACTCTAGATTTTTTTTTGAACTGAATTAAGGTTGTGCGGAACCAACGTGTATACGCTAGTTTGTAGTTCAAATAATTGTGCAGATAATAACTGACTGTTGTACATGGTATCTTTGTCATCTCCTCTATCCTTCTGAGTGATGCTCTTGGGTCTTCATCTAGCGCTTGAAGAATTGCTTTGATTTTTCTTTGATCCGGCGATTTTTGTCAATTTTTATGATGGGCGCCTTTTTGTTCATGAAGTGATACATCCTAACATGATACGTTACAGTGGAATAGCTAGGAGCATCCATACCGAAGCATTTTACCAATGTCTCGTAGATTTTTTTACAGTCTTTGCATTTTTTTGCAAGAGCGAGGATGTTTTCTTTATGATTCATTAAAAAAATGGAAAAAATCCCGCCAAAATTTCCCGCGAAACCGCCTCTTGTCTCAAAATTCATTTTATATCCCGGCATGGCGCCAAAATACAACATACTCATCATATACATATATTCATATTTTTTATTATATATTTATAATCAGCATATATCTCCTTTAATAGTCTCATATAGAGCGCTGTGCTAAACGCACCTTTGGACACCCTATACTATCTAAGTACTTAAAGAGATCCTGATTATTTTCGCGGTTTGGATATTCCTCTTGTAAACGAGTTTCTAACTTTTTAATCAAGTCAATTCGTTTTTGAGGATGGTCTGCGTAAGCGACTTCAACAATTTCGGAATAGACATTGATGTATTCCCTTTTTGTTGCAAAATGACGTAAGCAAAATTTATGATCGCAAGAAAAGCCTGATTCTCTAACAGCAGCTTAATTGCCGGACCTTGATCGGAATAAATATTCTTGAATCTGCTTGGTGGAATTAAAGATTTCAATTTAGTGAGCATATCCTTAATTGTTATCGTATTTTCACTAACAGACCATGCAAATGCAATAGGGATAAGTCTATTATTTGGTGCAGGTGTACCAATAATGAGTAAGTTTCCTTTTTTAATACAAAATAAAAACGTTCCTCAATTTGAATTATTCCGCAAAAAGCTTGTGTTTGCATGTAAAAATGAGTTATTGGAGGAATTACAATAAATGAATAAATTTGAAAGTCTTTTGAATTTTCAGGTAATTCATCACCTTTCTTAAATGTATGCAATTCAATTTCATTGTTAACTTCTTTAACTAAATCATTTCGCAGAATCCTTGTTCGATTTTGTTTATGATTGAAAAAAAAAATTGTTGAGAAAATAATTGTAGATTGAATTCTATCCCCTTTTTGTGGTTCCTTTAAGTTTATTTACTATATTATGGAACATTGTATAAGTTGCATTGGGAATATTCAATTCTTTTGCAAAAATTTCTTTGCATTGAGGAACATTATCAGAATTTGCTAATTCATAGACTTTTTTTCCTGCTTGCAACTTAAGAATTTTTGGTATATTGTTACTCGGCTTGCATTGCTTTGCTCTATGCTCGTGTTTAATTACTGGAATGAAGAAAAGTTGACCATTAGTTAGTATACAAGTCTTGGGTATGGTGGCACTGCGTTCCACTTTACCCAATACTTGTGAATTTGACACTTTACAAAACCGTTAACGTGTATTTTACAACACAAACGACAACACTAACTTAACCTTAAATATTTACAAAGCCGCCAACCACTTCACTTCACTAACGAACTCACTAATGTAAAAAATAAACGTTCTCACTATCGTTCTCACTAACGACTTCACTAATGTTCTCATAAATTTTCCTCAATATCTTCATCATCAGTGTTAACCCTATTGTAGTCATACTTGAAGCCATAAACTTTCTCTAACTTCTTAACGTACAATTTACATAACTTACCTTCGTCATCGTATGGTTTAATGATATAACTATTTCTATCTTTATACACAGTCAATGAAAAGTCAACTGGTCTCGGATGTATTTGAAAGAACATGTTATGCTCAGGAAGGAAGAA